CCCGTCTTGTGCTTGTTGTGGAACTGCAGTAGTACGCAATGGCGAAGTAAACTGCACGGAAGAGTGATCATCAATCCTCTGTTGAAGCATGAGGATTACTTGACCTTGATCCTTCACCTTGGCCTCTAATTCAGATATGATAGCACGTAATGAATTCAATTCGTCATTGAATAAAGCAATCTTGGCTACAAACTCGGAGCGTGGCAAATGATCTCCCATACAAACACACTCTTCTTCAACTCTGGACTGGTCAGTCCTTGTTGATTGTTTCTTAGCCCCAACAGATAACTTTGACTTATTCCTGCTTTGGTTCTTATTAGATGTAGAGCATGGGGTGACTTTCGATGTAGGCTTGGGAGTGAAGGGAGGGTTTGAAGCCATAAGAATTCCAGCTCGATGAACATTGTCATGATTCAGTTCTATGGTGGAGGGGGTAATATGCTGGAACACAAACTGAAATGCATGGTCCAAAAAATAAAATAAAAAAGTTAATGAAGTAGCAGGTAGTTGTAATACCAAATGATATGGACCAGTATGTATCTCGTTACATTAAATGCAATTACTATATGCATTTCAATGATAAAGAGTAAGTTTGAAATGACAATAGGGTTATTAAAGTTAGAAGAAGTAATTAAACATTTATTAACTACAAATGTGTGAATTGATAATAATAATATTAAGCTTTACATACATTTGGGTTGCTGAAGATGGAGCAGTTCAAGGTTTTTGGGTTTTTTTTGGCCGACGTCCATCTTAAAACCCTTGGAAAGGCATCTGGATCAACTAACAGAGCCAAGCCAACCTCTCTTAGAGCCGGAAAACTCTCAAAAGCCCATACTTGGAGAGCGACAACACAACCATACACATTATAATGTGCTTCATTTAACTTCAAACAATTAGCACCATTTTTAAAGCAAGAAACCATATCACTCCAAATCACCCTACCCCATGGATAACTATTAAAGGCGTCTATATCATCGATTAGGTTTAAATATGAACTGTTTAGTGCACTTTTTGTGTCGGCAGAGAGGAAGGAATGGGATAGGACATATATGAGTGAAAGTCTAATTATATCTTCATCTGTCTCCATACCCTTGACCAAAGATTGGTATAGTAACTTGATATCACTACGTGTGACCCTAGATTTGGTTGGGAAATATTTGAGCCAGAATGCACCCCGATAGGTAGATTCTTGTTCAATAGTGGGGACAGTATCATGGTAATTCAACCCAAGAATAGTGGTGAAATCTAACACAGAGAAATGAACAACCCTATCCTGAATCTCAAAGTACAAATGAAAGGGATTGACAACATTCTCAACCTCTACCAAATTCCCTAACAGATAATGTATGAGTAGACCACTGCAACACATTTTCCTAGCATCCAGGAATGGACCAAAGACTGTTTTCCTAAATAGTTGCAGTTGATGAGGTTCTAACTTCTGCTTAACTAAAGAGACTGAGTCAAACAACCTAGAATATGTGTTTACTTTCCTGTTCTTTATGGGGTTATAGACTATGGACTTTTTCACCAGCCTCTTGTACATCTGTAGGAAGCATAATATCAAAGTTAGTTATTAATATTGCCATAGTTAGTACTAGGGAGGAAAATAAATGTACACTTACATGCTTAGGTTTAGGAGTGGATGAGACTTTCACGGATGACCGCAGGAATGGTGTTAAAGATGCCAGAGGTGTAGTGAAATCATCATTGTCTTCCATGCCCTGATTCAAATAATATAAAAGTAAGAGCAGCATTGAAAAGCATTTGACTTTATTCTTCTTCTTCTTCTTCTTCTTCTTCTTCTTCTTCTTCTTCTTCTTCTTCTTCTTCTTCTTCTATTTCTTTCCTTCATGACTTTTCTTCATGCTGTTTTATACTTACTAACTGTTTTATCTAGGACGAACATCAAAATCCAGATATTTGTATTCCTCTTTTCAAGTAAGTTGGTTATCTCTTAGTTAAAATTACCCTGAGTTCCTTAGAGATCATGTTGAAGCAACACAGATAGGTTTTAATTGACAAAGCTTGTATAATAATATAATAATGACATAAAAGTGAACTGGAATGGTCCATTGGGAAAACATTAGGGGTGGGTCAATTGTTTTGGATGGATTGAAATATTCCTTACATTTTGCTTTTCAGAAGAATAAGTAACTCACTGTTTTTGAACCATCTTACTAAACACTTTTGCTGTCAAAGATTTTACTAGGTTCAATCATTTGTGCAAACTAATTACCAAACGGATTTTATACTATGTCATAAGCCTGGAACTAAGGGACCATCAAAAGTAAAGTTAACATGTTATGGATGGACATACAATCATAAAGTGATATAAGTGGATGAATACTGAAACTGGAAAAAAGGAGAGAGAGTTTATTCCATAGAAATATAGAACCAGAATATAGCAGAAGTCAATCTGTGGGACTTTGGGCATTATATTTTCGAAATCAAGTCACTTATCAACTCAGAGTTGCAATTTACACAATAGAATCATATAGGGTCAGTTCACGTGTACAAAAAATGATAGGGAAAGACTAAGAAGGAAATAAGCTAGTGGATGCTTTGATTCATCCAAAACAGTTCACCCACCCCAACTTGGACGAATCAAAATATTACTTACATTTAGCTTCTTGCTGTCATCATCATTGTCATAGTATTAAATCAAAGCATTGTTTAAGTCTATATCACTACACAACAAAAAGTTAAACAAAACATACATGGAGAAAAAAAACAGAATAAGAAGAGATCACGTTTGTAATATCTTATTATGGGAAGAAATAAAAGCATCATCAGACTTATTCATCAAGCATTACAATCTCAGCCTTTCTCGATCTCCAGTTCACCAAAATTACAATCAAAATTATACTGAACATTACATTTTTTTTAGTTCCGAAACAAAGCCCTTTCAAAGATTTACATTATCATAAATGAAGAAATTATAGAATGAGGAGAAGAATGGAAGATTGCAGTAAATGTTGGTACCAAAATTAGAACCTGGTCATTCCAATTAAAATATACTTACAGCGATTGTTGCCGCCTCGCCTTGCATGCGCAGAAAGACTTCCGGTGCAGAGATTGAAGAATTAGGCCTCAGTTGTCAACATGCAAGCGGGATAAGCTAGGGTTTATGGGAGAATTACAGAGTGAAGAGGATGTAGAATATGGTAGGAGTACAGGGCTGGCGAGATTATCGTATAGATTAGCGCGAGAGACAGTTTTGTTGGAAGAAGGAAACTTCAAGACCGTTACTGGCGAGGTTTAAGCAAGGTCAAATACGGAAGAACAAAAACGCAATTAGACGAGTTTTAGTAGGTGGTAATATTTTTGAAAGTACGAATTAAAGGAGTAATATTCATGTAAATTTTTCTAGTTTTGAACATTTCAGAAAAATACAATTATTCTTAAAATTTAAGTAGCTAATCTAATATTTGTAAATATACATATGTATACACATACTTTGCTAATTACCACACCAATGCAATTAGAAAGCAACAAAAAAAAACTAACTGGGAAAAAAATTGAATATAATAATCTCAATTCTCAATTGGAAAATTTATATCTACTAATAAAGGAACTAATCAATCAAAATAAAAAATGACACATTTACAATTAAAATAAAGATTATGGACAAAAATGGAACCTCTTAAGTGTAGTTACTATTTGTATGTTTTACTTTTTACACTTAAGTGACCATGATATTATATTCACAATGTTTAGTCATATTTTTATGAAATAATTTCAAAATAAAAGTAGTGGAGCAAAATGTGACATAATATCTTTTTGTGACGATAATTATATTCAATAGTAAAGTCATAGTGACTATAAAACTTACTCGTAGTAACTTATACTCACACTTTTATCCATAGATTTTTTATTAGTAATATTTTAGGAACCAATTAGGAACCATCGAAAGAAGATGGTCTGACATGCAAATGTGATACTATTATGATATTACATAACAATGAGATTATTCTGAGAAGATCGCTGAAATTGGGATTATTTTTGTCAATATTAGAAAAGATGTTGAAAAAGTAAAATTTGTAGTTGGGATTTGATTATAATAAAGTGGAATGTTGTACAACATATTTCTTTCCAAAAAAATATTAAACATGCTTTTAGGACAACACAAAAAAGACTAGTAAAATGAGACAGAAGGAGTATTCATTTAAATAAAGTAAATAAATAAATAATATTAATATTACTATTTCCGTTCCACTAACTATGAGGAGATGATGCATTTTTAAATAATTATGTGATTGATATTGAATTAATAAAGTAAGAATAAAGTTAAAATAATTTATAACCTCACAAATTTTTACAGAGTTTGGTATGTAACCATTTTAGTAAGACAAACTGGAAAAAAAAGATGGAATAATCTTAATGAGAGTAAGGTGAAAAACCGAACAAAAAGTTATTCGGAACAAAAAAAGTGTAAACGTATTGTCTTAATTAATGAACCAAGTAATAACTCCATAATTATTAATAATTAAAGGTCATGGAAATAAGTAATTAGTTTTTTGAACCTATAAAGAAAATATTCAAAAAGGCAATAAATATAAATAATAAAATTAAAAATTCAGAATCATACAAAAAATAATACTAATTCAGAGGAATAAAAAACAAAGATAGTTCAATGTTATATTCTGGTTTAATAATATAAAAAATGCAAAGTACTACTGTACTACATTATATTCAAACGTAATTAATTTGACGATAAAGATCGTATAAAAGACTATACTAATAATAAATAGATAATATTTAATAAAAAATCATCTAAAAACTAATCTATAAATGGTTGCACTCGCCAAGTATCTTTTGGTCTGATGGCATCACTGTGTCACTCCCAAGGAGGAGGTAACAGGTTCGAATCACATTCCAGTTCAAGGATGTTGGCATTAATAATAAATAGATACTATATAGGTTAGAAAAAAATGTCCAAAAAAATGGTTGCACTCATTTCATTCTACCATGTTATATGTTAGTAAAAAAAATTGATCATCAAATTAAAGGGTTTTTCAATTAATATAGAGCAAACATGCAAGACAAAATCCAGACAGCTATTACAGATATGATCGTAAGCCCTAGGAATAGGGTTAGAGTCAGCCACCCATACAAAGCAACTTGACTCGCTAGACACAAAACGGGCAAGAAGAAGCCTAAAACGATCGAAAATGAAGTACTGCCAATCAAAAGTTCTTCAAAAATCAAAATACTCCAACCATCCCTGCTCGAATTGAAATAAAAATAAGTACTACGAAAGGAAAAATAATACGAAAATAAAAGCTTTCCCCAAACTGCTTCTTCGCACGGAGGTGGTTCTGGAGGAGGGCAAACTGCTGTAGTATGGTAGAAGAGAATTTCAACCCCTGGAAAATTCATCTAAAACCCCATCCTTCGCCATTGAAATCCATGTCCGAGGTGCAGAATAAAACTCTATCATGTTGCCTCGTGTTTCTTCGCTCACAAAACCAAAACCGCACACCACTGCCCTTGTATTCCACTCATTCCACGAAATACCCAGCCGCACGAACGAAGCTCGATCTGTGGAACAAAAAACCCTAATTAGTGTAGGGAAGACGGCCGCTCGATCCTCGAAAGAATCGATAACTATCCCATACTATCCATAATAGTATGGGATAGTTAAGCATTAAGCATATGATTTGATATTTGAAAAATGTTGAAAACTCAACGTACTCTGATGATAAAAGAATAAAAACATACCGTACATGTTAGTAAGTTAAATAATTCAATTGTTATTAAATTCAATTCTAAAATTATTGGCAATAAAAAAATCATACAATTAATTTAATTTGATATAAACTATAAGGTAATAATTGACAAATTTTATTAAAAAAATATATTTCTAAATGTATTCAAATGTTTGAAGATATTAGAAGTATCCATTTTCATATGACTAAGGATGTTTTTACTTGGACTATAATTTGCTGGTCTAGTCTGATCTGGTCTGGTCTGAACTGGTCTGGTTTGGTCTGGTAAGGTCTGGTTTCTTTGTATTTTTATAGCTATTCAAGTCTGGTCTGGTCTGGTCTGGTCTGGTCTGAACTGATCTGGTCTGGTCTGGTCTAGACTGGTCTGGGACAAATTACAGTCCAAGTAAAAACATGCTAACTTTCGTTGTACAAAAGTTTGATAGGGTAATTGTCTCCCAACTCTTCCTGGTCCACTGTCGTTGCTCAGTCCGCCCACATCATCTATATATGTCGCCGCGCGCCGATTCGACAAGACAATGAATTTTAGTCAATGATTTGTATACATATGACCAGCAACGAGAAAAAAGATTCGAACCTCCGAATTCCGGGACCAATATCGTGTGTTGATTGTAGAACATACTTCTCCAATATGCCATAGCCAAAGCTTGCCTAGCCGCCGCCACGCGCGGCCTGTCGCCCACACTTCCCCAACCACCGTCACCCGCCTCGCATCGTCCAAATCTTTCCCAGCGGAAGCCGCGCGCCACCCGTCTCTCATGCCCTCCCAAACCTCTGCCGGCCGGCCGCCACCCGCCGGCCACAACTTCTTAACCGTCAAGTCGTCAACGCCATCCAGTGAAAGACAAGCGGGTAGGATGGAAGAAAAAAAGAAATTGGAAAAGAAAGAAATTGGGGCGAGGCAGAAAATCAGGAGGAAAAAGATAGTGAACGGGATAACAAAGAAAGAAAGAAATCATCGATGCAAACTCGGTTGAAGAGGTCAGCCAGGAAGAAGGAAAGAAAGAAAAAACGAAAAGAGAAGTTACCAACGGCTTACTGCTCAAAAGACATACGGAGTATTTGGCATTTTGGCTAATTATTTGAATTTGGTGGACTTCATTGATTCGAACAATAGTAAAAGGATCCAATTGCTACTTATGCATAAATAGTTAAATACGGGAATTATTTGACATTTTTCTCTTTACTTAATGATTTTTATGCACAATATGCTAATGCAACCTCCTCCCCAAAACAACTTGCTTCTTCATCTAATGGAAATGGTCCTTTTATTCAGCAATATCTAATCTATAAAAACAAACGAGTAAAGGGTTAGTTTGGTCCTCAAAGTTGCAAAAAAGGCGTCAAATAAGTCCTTATATAGAAGATTCTGTCCGGACGTGCCGTTTGAGGTGGCTCCCGGTGGAATTTTGTGATAAAATTTTTTGAGCATCTTATTCATTAAGTCTAGTTTACTCATACCAAATTTCAGCTAAAAATTCAATCGGGAAGACATTCAAATGAATTCTTGAAGATAACAGCGTTTTTAACGGCACAGTTATCTTCAAGAATTCATTTGAATGTCTTCCCGATTGAATTTTTATCTGAAATTTGGTATGAGTAAACTAGACTTAATGAATAAGATGCTCAAAATATTTCATCAAAAAATTCCCCCGGGAGCCACCTCAAATGGCACGTCCGTACAGAATCTTCTATATAAGGACTTATTTGACCCCTTTTTTGCAACTTCGAGGACCAAACTGACTCTTATCCCAAAAACAAACTAAATCAACGTACGTTCACAAAGTTAATCAGTTTCCTTTATATCTAATGTTCCATGTGAGTATGAAGACGAGAAAGCCTTTGACATTTTGAAATGGTGAAAGCACAAAGAAAGGATATTGTTTTCTACGTAGCATTTTTTTAACAATGGCGAAACAAAAGTCATAGCCATGTCCGTTTAAATGGTTGTCGTGAAACAAAAGTTTAATGAAACCAAGAACATTCTAACAGATTATAAAACAAGGTTGAGCGCACAATCTCTTGAGACGCTTGTACGTCTTCATGATTGGTAGAATGCCAGTCGGCGAACACACAAACTAAACGTAGCACCGACCCGTCATTTCATGGAGGAAACGACATCCGACCAAGGAAGCAAGAGTCCCGAAGAGTAAGAGATTTGTAATGTGTTTAATGTGTTAGTATTATTGTCTACATGTTTATTTTAGCTTAATTACGTACCTTTTTTAAATGTACAAGTCAATTTATGCTTTACTATACATGTGTTAAATTTTTGTTATATGCTTTAATACATGAGTAAAACTGTGTACATCCGATGATAAAAAAACTGTGTATATCCGATGACCCCCTTACCCCACCGTAGATGGGGGCCTGTGTGACACTGGATAATGTTCCTGTTGTTGATATGTATTTAATTTTAGTGTATATAGTTAATGGTTTTTATATTAAATAACTAAAAATATGAAACTGGGACCGGACCCAGCTACCAGACCATCCGGAACTGGGTTAATACCTGAGTTGGACTGGACGTGGTTGAAGGTGGGCTAGGCCTGGACTCGGGCCGGTTCGGGCCCGGTTCGGGCCCGGCCGGGCCTCAGTTCGGAAATGTAAGGCCCGGGCCCGGCCCGCCTGTAAGCGGGTGCCGGTTCGGGCCGGGTGACCCGGCCGGGCCCCGGGCCGGGTGAACCGGCGGGTCGGGTCGGGCCTTGAATATTTTTTTTTTTTTAACTTATAGTCTTATACATCTCTACTTGGAATCTTGGATATTAAAATTATTTAAAAACAATCTTGAAGTACATTTATGTGAAATAAGTAATAAGTACATTTTGAGAATTGAGAACAATTAATTCTAATACATTTTGTATTAAGTAATAATAATATAATATAATTAAAAAATGCGACATATAAAAAATTTAACTTTTATTGATTTGAAATATGAACTACAAATCTACAAGTTCACAAATTACAATAGAGAATTGAGGATAAAATAATAAATTGTAAAATACTAATCAATCGGAATCCCCGACATAGGTAGAACCACCATCGGTTGATTCATCCATAAAGTCTTGGGAGGGGATGAGGCTAAGTTCTTGAGTTCTACGTCTTGCTTTCAACCAATCGTGGTAGCATATAAGCGTCTCAAGAGATTCGGCACTCAAACACGTTCTCGATTTAGTTAGGACGTTGCCGTCCGAACTAAATTCTTGTTCCACGGCAACTGTTGAAACCGGCATTGATAGTACTTGCTTAGCCATCCGTGCCAAAATCGGGAACGTTCTTTCTTTTGACTTCCACCACTTTAGGACGTCAAATTCTTCATTTTCTACAAACTCAACCTCATAGTTAATATACAAAGCAATCTCATTAATTGTGTTTTGTTCAGTAGTGTGCGTTGTTTTAGCTTTTTTCATAAGATTGCCAAATGCAGATTTAAAAAAACCTTTTCCTTTAGATGAAGATGTTTGGGTTGGGGGAGGGGGCATGTTGCCATATTGTGCACGAAACTCATTAAATAAAGAATAAAATAAATTACTAACCTCGTTGTATTCAGATTGCGGATCTATAGCGTTATCTTCATACATTGGAAAATCACCATAAAAAGATTGATAATAGAACTTGTAACATTGTTCCAAATTACCAAGTCGATAACGAGGATCGAGAATAAATGCAATACCATAAATATGTGGAATATGTGCATAATATTTTAAAAACTTTTCCTTCATAAAAGTACAAAAATAGCTCACATAATCGGCATTTTGAAATTCATTAAAAGCACCGGCGAGATTAACAAGTTCACGCATAAATTCGTTTGAAGTAGGTTTATAAACATGACTAAAACTTTCAGTTGCATTATTAAAAAATATCAAAACATTACAAATTTTTTCGCAAGTGTCGATGTGAGCGGAGTCTAAAATGTAGTTATCATATTCTTTTAAAAAAGCAGGAAAATGTTCTTTATATCTAATAAGAAGTCTAATTAATTTATAAGAACTATTCCACCGAATAGACAAATCTTTAGGAAAAGCAACATATTTCACATTTCTTTCATTCAAATAATTTTTCCATTTTAATTTAAGTTGACCATTAGCCCAAATACGTCTAATCCTCCCCTTCGCTACCTCCATAGCATCTCCCAACGCTTTTAGACCATCCTGCACACATAAATTTATTATATGGCATGCACATCGTTGATGAAAAAATCTACCCATCAAAGTAGTAGAACCACACAATTCACGCAATCTAGGTATAGCAGCAGTATTATTAGTAGCATTATCAAAACCTATAGCAAACACCTTATCAACCAAATTATACTCAATTAAATACGCTCAATCAAAATATAAATATGTTCGGCGGTGTGACGATCATTAAATTCACGAAAAGCAAGAACACGTTTATGCAAATTCCAATCATCATCGACATAATGTGCAGTCAAACCCAAATAATGTAAATTATGATAGGTGTCCTCCCATATGTCAGAACAAACAGTAACACGTTCATCATAGTTTGCAAAAAAAATTGTAAGTTCAACTTTTCCGCCTTATAAAGCCTTATAATTTCTTTTTTAACCGTTTTTCGACTATAACTTCGAAATTAAGGATTTAAACAAGTTTGTGCATACTCTTTAAAAGAAACACTTTCAGAAAACAAATAAGGTAAATTTTCTTCAACTATAAAGTTAGCCATACCAGTCAAATTTTGTTGATCATTGTATGAGAAATTACCATAAGGTTGGTTATTTGCAAACCTCGATATTTGTGTTTGCTTCCCCTTGCCTTTCTCAATTTTTGCGTACTCCACCTTGTGCTTGCCCATAAGATGCCTTTTGAGGCTCCCGTATCCGCCCGAAGTTCCCAAACTGTACACCTTATCGCAATGGTTGCAACTTGCGTACCATTTCTCGGTGCTTGGGTCTTTATACTTTTTAAAATTATTTTCTATAATAGGAGATTTAGATTTCGTACCTATTTGGGATGAACCACCCTCGTAATCCGCCGCTTGCTCCTCATCCGGGGTGCCGTGACTCCCGGCGCCCCCCGCGTCCTCCTCCGGATTGTCATCTTCGAGCTCTTCTTCGTCAATGGTGTGAATATCGTCCGGGATGTCTCGTTGATGGAAAAATTGAGGATTTTGAGCCAATAGTTGTTGTAGTTGCTCGTCGGACATTCTTTCACCATCTCGCCGTTGGTATTCCGGTTCGTCCTGCCATCCACTTTGAGAAGAAGATCCGGACTGCCCGCTTTTTTTGCGCAAACTAGGATGAGTTCTCGCAATCTCCTTCTTTCGGTTGCGTTGGAGATTTCCGATATCCAAAGAATGTCTACCGCGCTCCATCTTAACAAATATAAAAGTATATCAAATATTATAATATGTCTAAATTTACTAGGTGTACACTTTAATGAGAAATGCAACAAATTAACTAGTTTTATACTTTAATTAAAATGTCTAAATTTACTAGGTGTACACTTTAATGAGAAATGCAACAAATTAACTAGTTTTATACTTTAATTAAAATGTCTAAATTTACTACTTGTACACTTTAATGAATAATGCAATAACTTAACTACTTTTATACTTTAATTAAAATGTCTAAATTTACTAGGTGTACACTTTAATGAGAAATGCAACAAATTAACTAGTTTTATACTTTAATTAAAATGTCTAAATTTACTAGGTGCACACTTTAATGAGAAATGCAACAAATTAACTAGTTTTATACTTTAATTAAAATGTCTAAATTTACTAGGTGTACACTTTAATGAGAAATGCAACAAATTAACTAGTTTTATACTTTAATTAAAATGTCTAAATTTACTAGGTGTACACTTTAATGAGAAATGCAACAAATTAACTAGTTTTATACTTTAATTAAAATGTCTAAATTTACTAGGTGTACACTTTAATGAGAAATGCAACAAATTAACTAGTTTTATACTTTAATTAAAATGTCTAAATTTACTACTTCTACACTTTAATGAGAAATGCAACAAATTAACTACTTGAATATAACGCCATTAATGGATAAAAGAAGAGTACCTTGGTGGATTGGCCGATTGGTTGATGATGAATAGGGAGAAGATAATATATGTATGTAAAGTAGATAATTAGATATCAAATTATCTACTTTAAGAAGATAGTAAGTATATATTAACTATTAAGTAGACACTAAATATTAGTAAAGTACTATATGTATATATAAGTAGATAATAAATATATAAGTAGATATAATATATTAATAATAAGTAGAGATTAAGTAGATAAGGAATATAAGTTATATAATATATATATATTTATATGTAAAGTAGCTAATTATAAGATAATAAATATTAGTAATGTAATATAT